GCACAGAAAGTTAAATTTGACTTTGTTGTCGGGAGATCGCTAACATACAGAGCATGGACAGGTGACAGCATGATTGGAGATAGATCCTTGGAAAGTGCCTTTTGCCTGGTATGTTTTGGGAAGAGGCTAGGAGTGAAAACTGAAAGGAGAGAAGAGAGGTGGCACATAGTTTAGCATGCCAGAAAAAAAAAAAAGAGAAAAAGGAAGATTAAGATACGCAAATGTTCACAAAGTACAACTGTGCACACTTCATGTAAACAGGAAACACACGAGCCGTGCTTAGTGCTTACACAATACCTAGGACAAAGCGTAGTGTGTTCTGAACATTCCTTTTTTTTTTTTGGTACCGGGGATCGAACTCCGGTCCTTGCGCTTGTACAGCAGGCGGCGAAACCACTGAGCTAAATCCCCGGCCCTGAACACTGCTTTGTTAATGTGGTGCGAGGGAAGTCGGACAAAATGTCCCTGCTAATGGATAGGGTGAGTGGGACAAAGAAGAATAGTGAATTCATTATCCTGAAATACTGAATATGAATAATTGCAATAACTATAATGTGCTTACCAAAAGAAGGAAAAAACCCCCCACAAAGGTATGGTTTGCCAGGATGAAAATTCTAGGTTTGTCTTTTTGCTTTTCATGGAATTAGTTGAAATTACAAGATTTCCATCTGGAGACAATGAGAAGCAGTGAAAGATCAAGAAAATGTCGTGTATCTGTTCTGATGTGGCATTTTCAAAATCTAATTGGAAGGTTTCTAAACCTAACAGAATATTTACAATATATATCTTCTCGATAAAAATAGTTACAGTAGACAATATGGAAGGTGGTGAAGAAACATGTGCCTAAAATTTGAATTTGACCTTTCTGAAAGTGATGAAACCATTAACACATAAAATGTAAGAGGACAAATAATTGGAAGACAAATCCTGGGAGGATTCTTATAAATTTGAAAAGTACAAAAAGGTGAGGCAGTAAAAAGTAATTCGAAGGAGAGAAAATGTACCAAGATGGTAGGCGTTTACTTGGCAGCAACGTGGAGGAGGAATTAAAGAGAACATGATTAGTAGTGGTAGAAAGAGAAAGACAGTTAATCAAATATTTGACTACTAAATTCAGCCAAGTAAAACCCAAGAAAGAGATTACTGGAGGGAATGACTAGGAGGTCATCGTTAACAAATGTTAGGGAAATTTCAGTAGCAAATTTGGGTGAAAATGCGAGAGATTCACGTAGAAGCACAGTGATGGGTGTGACGGGTGCTCTCTGTGGTGCCCACTTTCGAAGTCTGTTCCCTGAGGACCCAGCTTCCACGGGGCTCTGCAGCCGGCAGAGGGCAGCTGCCATCTGTGCTTACCAAGCAACCTATGCACTTCGGTTGAATTTCTTGGTGATTTATAAATATAAAATTTGTAAAGTTAAAAACATCATGCCCATATTTTCCCCTTTCTACTAAATCACCGTGCAAAGTTCTCCAGACTGTGTCGTGTCTGCTACATTAGCAGCACCAATGAGCAGAATGACCCCAGAGAAAAAGTTGCATTGAATGCACCAGCAGCATTGTTATTGGCTGATCTCATCTGGGCTTATAATAAAAAATGAAACAATCAGCAAGTTGCTTACACCCAGGAGATTATTATTTCTGCTGCTTGACCTCAAGCGTCTTGTAGAAGGACTTGCCTTTGCTGAGTTTTCACAGTTGATATTAAATATTTAATTCCAGTAGAACTCAGTAGGAGCATCTTACCAACTCCTTTGCAATCAGGTTTGATTTCAAGTCCTCGATGCAGTTCTACTACTAATCAGCCTAATCATTTCAGAGACTTGTGATGCTGCCTGGCAATATAATTTTGCATCCAGGAAGCTAGAGAGGAAACTGGTTTTTGGTTCCTTTCTCTGCTTCCAGTGACAACTGTCTGTGAGAGTCTGGCATTGTCTCTCTCATTTTAGAAAGTCATCTTTGCAATTATTATCAGACTTTTTGTACAATATTTTGGCTATTCTCAATGGCGGTAAACCTTTCTTCTTTAGAGGATAGATCGAGATTAGAGGAAAATGGGCTTAAATTTTGAAACCATCACTGGGGAATAGGGTAGAGGTGAAAATGAGAGGAGTGATTTCATTTCTAATCAAATGAGGAATAATTCTAAAGCACTGCAACTCATTTTCTTGCCTAACAGGTCCATAGGCTCTTTGAATGACCTAAGTAAAGTGAGGGAATTGAACAATGTTGACAAAATGGCAGTTAGTTGTCTGAGTAGTAAAAGCAGGTTGGGAGAGAAATATCCAGAAAAACAATGGAAGTAGGCCAAGGAACAGTGGCTTCTATATCACAAAGAAGAATGAAGAATGAGAGAGTTTGGGAGGGAGAGGAAAGACACAGCTGTAAAATGATGTGCATTGGAGAAGTAGCTGGATGGCCTGGAAAATGAGCCTTCTGAGGAGACGAGTTGTCATCTCTTCTGAAGTGTGTGTTTGTTTTGAGGTGGGCACCAGCATTTCCAGATGTTTGCAGTAACCAAGAGGTCCCTTGGTCTCTCCCTCCAGACCCTAAAACAAATGGGAAATGAAAGGATGGCTCCTTATTAAGATCGCCTTATCAAGCATTCTGCTGGGGTGGAGGCTGCTGTCTGAATCACAGGAGCCATTTCATTTACGGTGACAGAGGGTTTGCTAATAAATCGTATTGTGTGAAATTAAAATTGTCTGTGGGTGACATGTCACCATTTTGCAGGAAATGAGAAAAATAGAGTCATAATTTTATAGCACTTCTCCCTTTTCATATGTCACATTTCCATTGTCTTAGATGATAGCTTTAACAAAAATCTGACTGAATTTAAAATTTAAGATATACTCAATACCTATGGCACTGTTCATCTAGAAAAGGTTTACCAGTGAAAGGTTTCTGTGGGTATGTAATTAATGGACATAGCCAGCAAATACAGGTCATTTCCAACTTTTGTACAAAAGAAAGAACAAAAATGTAGATATGAAAAAGTGATAGCGATCTCATTGTGTTATGGCATTATGTTAAGGTGTAAAATTAATGTAAAAATATATCCCAACCACCTTTTACTACTCAGGCAACTAAGTGCTGCTTTGTCAACATTGTTCATTTCGCTCACTTTACTTAGGCCATTCAAAGAGCCTATGGACATGTTATGCAAGAAAATGAGTTGCTTTCTAAGCTGTATCAGCCCACCCTGCAGAAGAATGGTGATAAAAGAGGAGATTATATTGACATGTTACACACATAAGGCATAGAAATTCCAGAAAACTTATCTTACAATGACAAAAATAAGTTGAATATCAGAGAATATTTAAAGAAAAATGGAAATCTCTTATAAAAAGAACCACTCAAGGAAATGGTTAACCTTGATTTCAGTTCAATTCATTCATGCAAAAGTTACTAAAATTATTTCTTGATTTATTGATCATCAAATTGATTATTAGAATCTGCATATATTTTAGCTGTGCTTTTATTCATGAAACAAATCTATTTTTCTATAAACTGTTTTCATGAAGGAAATGAAATAAGGTAGTATCGGTCTTATCTTTCAAATAGTATTAATAAAGTTAAGATGTTTGATATTATGTTCTGGGTTGTTACATTGCAACACTGGATAGTTGGTTTCCATTCCTTGATTGAAATGACCCCAAAAGATTGAAAGATTGAAAAATATCAGCTTTTCATTCATTCAAAGCCATCTGATTGACCTGGATTAGTGGTTTCAGGGTCATGGTTTCTATAGAGCATTGGGCGGGGGGGCACTCTTGAACTAAGAATTTCTAACTTGAGAGGGAGAGACAAAGAGAAAGAGACAGAGACAGAGAGAGACAGAATATCAAATTTATATTTTAGAAGGTCATTCTAATTATGCTGTGGAGAATTGAATGGAAGGGCAATAAGTTGAGGAGAAATAACAGTTTAACAGTTAGGTAGGCACACCACTACTCTGGGTTTGTTTGGGCTTTTTTTGTAAATAGAGTATGACCCATTAGTTAGAGTGTAGAATTTGAATGTTTAGATTTTAATGTAGAATCAATCACTTACTAGCTGTGTGACTTGGATAAGCCACTTCATCTCTTCATGAGCCAATTTCCTTATCAGTAATTTGGGAATCGTAATAGTTTCTACCTCAAGGGCTATCATTGAGAAGAAATGAGTTAGTATATTACAGAATATGATGGGTACAGTTCAAGTACAATATCAGTGTATCCTATCAGTGAGCTGGGATGGCTGGGATGGTTAGAGCACATTTGGGGTGTGTCACTGCCATTGACGGAAATAGAGCCCCTGGAAGAGAGGAAGGGGTTGTGGAATGGATGGGGAGTTTCAAAAACAATATTATTCCTTTGTTAAAAATGGTAGTCCTTAGCCAGAATTTTTGGTAATATTCTTTTTTCTTATGTGGTGGAACATACGGGGTAAGTTAGATCCATGGGGAAGATTAATATTGGCTGCTAAAAGCCATGTGTAAACAATGCCTCTTTTGGTGTGTTGCAAGTATGGCATTAGATTCTCCTTAAAGAGGTTTTGTTCAGCATCAGAACTCTTTGGAAGCACACTGACCTAATATACAAGCATTGTAAATACAATAGAGCTTTTTGAAGGAATCACATTTTGTAGGAAATGAGCTCTTACAAATGTATGTAAATCTTAGGAAACCACAGTTTGTTCTTACAACTAATGGTTTTTACTTGTACATTTTTGTGTTCCTGCTCCACAATTATGTTTATGCTTTCGCAGCTTGTTAAGCTATAATGCAAGTATTTTCTTGGAGCCAGAATTATTACTTTTTATACTCTGTAATTCTGTAAATTCCTCCAGGAGTGCTAGGTAAATAGGTGCTCATAAATTTTAATGGATCCTTAAGATGAATTCTGCATTTCCTTCGATCTGTTAATGATTTTGTATTTTACATAAAGGATGTTTCAAACAGATCCATGTGATTGTATGCAGATTACAGTGATTGATCTTTTCTGTTTTTCCTATTCTTCCAGTCTGCTCCCAATTTTCAAGAGGCGTCTATGCGATTTTTGGGTTTTATGACAAGAAATCTGTCAATACCATCACCTCCTTCTGCGGGACCCTGCACGTGTCCTTCATCACCCCCAGCTTCCCGACAGATGGCACACACCCCTTTGTGATCCAGATGCGGCCCGACCTCAAGGGGGCGCTGCTCAGCCTGATCGAGTACTACCAATGGGACAAGTTTGCATACCTGTACGACAGCGACCGAGGTGAGTGTGCCTGCTGGCTCTCTATCTCTGTCCTGGGTCAACTCCAGCACTTGCATTCACTGTTTAGGGGGTTGCTGAACTGTGAGTGCACACTAAGACCCGAGGGGCACTTGGCTTAGTTTGGTTGTGCAAATGAATAATGCAGTATGAAAACTGGGCAGCATGTTTAGAGTAAATAACACAATAAAAGGACTGTATGATTTACAGAGATAGTCTGTTATTCCAGTGCCCATGTGCAGTTGTAACCTAAAGAGCAGTTTCTGGCATCAGCAGTGAGGACGGTATAACTCTACTACTAGTCCAAGGGGAATGAAATGGCTCATGTGCAGTTCGCCTGAATACACCCACAAGAGTGTTCCCACTAAGTCACGGTTATTATACATTGCTACAGGTGGCCACTGGTGAGAAGATAACCTCAGAGAAGTTATGAAGCTGCTTAGGGTCCAACAAGGGTCTCTGATACCAGACCAGAGTTTCTCCCACGATCCCACACGGTTGTTTACGATGAGATACCGTTGATCAGCATGCCAGACTTGACTTGTTATACTGGACTTTGTGGGGGAAATATCTTCTTACAGTTTTCGCATTTCTTGCTTGACTGTCATGACACAGAAGCCCAGCTGGATTCATCCCTGGGCATGTGTGAGTCTGTAAGCTCCTCAGACTGCATGATGCATTTTCCACGAATGTTCCCATGTTGTCTTTCTAGAGAGAATGTCCAGAAGCCGAGTTGTGAGGCTAAGGTACCTGGGTCAGCAGGGCAGCTAAGCACTGAGTTTCCTTCAGCAGCTGGCTCCCTGGAGTATTTGAAGGTACACATGGAATCTGGGAGACTGTGTTGCCCAAATAGGAGCTCCTTACCCTCAAGGGCAGGCAGGGAGAGCTGGCCCTATGGGCTCCCCATTGATCAGTCTGCAGTCTTGGGCTGCAGAGAGACAGGGTCACGAACGCCCCAGCTAGTGTCCACCCTCCGCCCTGTCCTGCCCTGGAGTCTGCTCTCTGGCCAGCCCAGAGGAAATGGCTGAGGCTGCAGCTTCTCAGAGCTGAGAAGGAGCCTTCACTCTTCTGGGGAATGAAGAACAGGAACAACCAGTTAGAGTAAATACAGATCCCAATGTGCTGGATGACTCGGAAGCACACTTCTTTTTAATGTGTTAAAAGAGCTTATACAACTGAGCGGTTAAGTTATTTTTAGTCTTTGCTCTTGTTAACTTCTCTTTTTAAATGTTTTTAATAGTACATGTTCGTAGTACGTGATGTTTCCATTCACCTGAGGGAGTAGGTACAGATACTCAGCACAGCTTACATCTTCTTATTCCTCTTCCCTCCCCATTCTCCTGCCCCCTCTGCCTCTGGGGCCCCTTCCACCCATTTTTTTTAAAGTTCAGTTATTGCTTTGTTTTGTTAAAACTAGCTTGGCACCCGGATAATTTCAGTGCCTTTCTCGACCCTGCCCGCACCTTGCTGATGGGATTTCTATCACTGCATACATGTTATTTCCTATCGCCCTCTTTCTCACGCAAACTCCTCCCCTGGACAAGTCACCACTGCGAGTTCAGTCCCTCATCTTCCCCACTTTACACGCATCTTGCTTTAATCAAGTTTGCACAAGAGAGCCAGAGCTACTGTTTAAATTTTTTTTGACAACTTCAATCCCTCTCTTAAAGCACTTCAGTGGTTTCACATTGTGATGAGGATGAAATAAAGATTCTTAGCATGGATCTAAGGCTTGCTAATACCTGGTTCCTGCTGAAATCTCTCATATATTCCACACTCTTACTCACTCACTTGGGCTAAATCCATTTGACCTTCTTTCTCTGTATAAGAAGGGCCAAACTCTTCTACCTCAGATGTCCACAGCCTGTCTCAGGCTCTCATCCCTTCGTGACATCTAGTTTATCTATCACTTCCTCAGATATGGCTCTCACACTACTCTCTCTCAAAATGAGGACTTGTTTTCCTTCTAGGACTCAGTGTCGCTCCTAATTAGTAGTGGGGTGGATCCTGTGAGTCCAGAAGAGCTTATTGAGGTGTGCTCCAGGGACCACGTTAGACACACAGTGGAGCTCTCTGTGCAGCTTGGTCCCAGCTATAAACTGAGGAAGGCAATGGCCATGAAGAGGTCAGGACACTGGGTGTGCAGCTCACACCTGGATAAGCAGCCTTCGGGTAAGGCTGGAAACAGAGGAGCTGGTCAGCGACCAGTACTCACCGCTGGGTGACTTAATCACCTGTGCACGTTGAGACGATGCTAGAAGCTGAAGCTTCCTTGATGGATCAAAGGATCAGAAGATTCACTCACTACCGTTTCCCAAGGTTGGAGATGCCATTTTTAGATTCGGAACTTCACTCCCACCCCCACAGTTATTGCCTCTCTTTAAAACTGAGCTTTTGAGAATATCCAAGTAGACATGAGCTGCTGTAAATACAAGAGCAACTCTGGTGGGTGAAAAGTGAAATGGAGAGCGATGGGAGCCGAGCAGTGGCGGGTGAAGATGGATGAACTTATGTACTGGCAAAGAGGATCTGGGACATTTTTAAATGATTTTATTAGTACTTTAGAAATATTAAGTGAAATTGGAGTGGTGAGATAATCTACAATTATTAAATTATACAAATTGATTTGAGTCAAGTGCATCTGATGAGCAAAGAATGTTAGAATAATAATAATGTTAAGTAATTATATAGGAAAGCCAAAATGACCTTATGAATACATTTTCAAGGTATTATCGAGGAGCGGGTGATGTTTTAATGTGAGAGATGTTACACTGGCCTTTCAACTGAGACTATTTTCAGAGATAAATGGGTAAGGCTCTCAAAATACTGGCAAAAGACTTGACCTTTGTGTAATGTTTTACTTGGCTCATGAAAGTGGGATTATTGTTCTCTGATTTATTCTTATTACTGCAATGACTTAATTTTTATGGCTTTAACACCATACTCCTTTTAAAAAGTTAATCTTACATTCCTCATGGGAACTACTTTCTTTCCTTTGGGCTTACCCCATTTCTCTAATGCTTCAGAGAGGCCCTCCCTTGCTTTAATGCTATATGATTAGGAGAAGGCAACTTTGCATGCTTTGCTCTCATTAGCCATGCTTTGAAAAATAGACGGCATGGTTTCATCTTTCAACTTACATCTCTATATGCTTCCATTTCAGACTATTTGATCTGTCCTTGATATGACACCCTTGCTATCTCCTTAATTAGAGGTTTTTGTTCTAGCTTCTTTCTTGCCTTTTCTGAGAGTCTAGTTCAGGTCACAGACGGTTAAATAATAATAATACCTAAATATATAAATGAATGTACTTTGGAACAACAACAACATGGGGCCCACACAGGAAAATTCTCCCTGACATTCTGCCCAGCTTGTGCAGTAGATGAAGAAGATGAAATTGTTCTCCACTGCTTTGTCTAACTATTCTGAACTGCTGTCACATCGTTCCTTACTTCCTCCCGAGCTGTCCAGTGCTGAGAAGCAAGTTAAGGGATGGCACCCCCTCATGAACAAATACATTCTGGTCTTGGGGCAGGAGCATCTCTGATGAATCTGAATGTATTGGCGTCAGGCTGCTGAGACCATTCCTCTGTCCTGGGGGCCCCAGGTCTCACTGGGGACCCCTTGTCCTTGCTCAGGGCTGCGTACTAGGACTCTGCAGGAAGCAGATACATAGAGCTGAAACACATTTTTAACCATAATGTGTTACCTTTGTGAGTTCATTCAGTATTATAGTTTTAATCTTTAGATAAATGTGTAGTATATTAGACTCAGCCCTAAATTAAACTCTGGTTTTTATTTATTGGTTCAGTGCCAACAAGGTAAAGTAATACTATGTATTTCATAGGCAGTGGCTCAAGTATCTTGTCGTGATTTTAATTTGGAGCAAGAATTGTCTCCTGTAGGGAAGGCATTTTGATTTTAGTTCTAAGAAAATATGACACTTGGAACAAAAGTGCTTCCAAAATGTACATTTCTTTTCTGCGTTGCTGGAGGAAGCCCATGAGGAAGTGCTGTGCTAATCTCCTCCGGGCCAGCACTGCCGCCATGATTTAGTGATCATAAATATTAAGTACAGTGCCAAGAGGATGAATAAACGCAGTGAATTTTAAATGGAACAAAACATTTTTAAGAGTAAAGACATGGTCTGAATGGAGTGTACCTTTCGCAGATCATTTTAAATTTCGCCCTTTTATGCGCAAAGACACTGAGATGCCCTCAGTGTGCAAGCTTGGGGCTTATGTGTGGCCCTCCAGTGTCCGGCCCGTTAGTTCTAGAGGAAGCTGTCTCTTATGCTGCTGTCACTGTGTGCTTTACAAGGCTGCCCCCTTATCAGTAGTTTACGCAGCGAGCACCAGTGGTAACAGTAGGTACGTGAAGAGCTAGGGCAATTTAATAATACTGGAATCTGGCCATTAGTCTAAAGTTGCGCTTTAAACAAATACCTAAAGCTTCAGTAGAGTTGAGAACTTAATTTTAGGTCTTTTTAATATTCTTGAAAATTTTAGAGAACACTCTATTTTTAATATATTGTCTAGGAGAGATAGATACTTTCAAAATTTGTTTCTATTTTTAGAAGAACAATTCTGTATCTTTATGGTTTTATTTGTTCTACATAATTCAGTAAGAAAAAATCAGAAAATTTAGTATCCTTATACAATAATATGATTATTAGAGTTAAATAATACTATAGTAATTTAGTAATAGTATATTACTAAAATATATATGATATTAGTATAGTAATTATTATAGTAATTTAGTAATAATAATATTATTAGTAAAAACAGTGCTTATGTGGAGTTTCCAGTGTCCATACTAGTTTATATTCTGATAAATGTGTTTTTGAAGATATTTCTGGGTTAGTTACATGGATGGGGAAGAAGTATAGATCCGGTAACACTTTTCTCTTGGAATTAGAAAATGGAACTGGGTGATGGAGAGCATGAATTGGTGTTTTATCTGACATATTCAAGTCGATTTCACCTTCGTAGTCATAATATACATTTATAGTGTTAGAGTCATCTGTTAGTGATATTTAGACTTAAAAGCTAACTATGACATATAAAGAAGTCAGACTTAATACAAAACTTGTACTTAGTTGTAAAGAATGGGCCAGTCCCATGCAGAGTGTGGGCAGGCCTGAGACTACTACGGAAGAAGTCCTAATCAGTCACCACAGAGAGAGGACCTCATCTCCTCTAAGTACCTGTCAGATTTGCCCTTGTCTGTGAGCAGCTTCCGGCCAGCCTTTGGGGTGATTTAATATTATTCAGTGTCTCCTGACTAAACTAAATTACCATGAAATTTGACATAGCACTACTTGAGCAGTTTAGCTTCTTAATAAATTGATGAAATTTTTACAAGACATTAATCTTGAGTTTTAGTAATGGAGACTGTATGGACTGCAAGTTACTTTTACCACCTAAAATGAAGGACATTTTAAAACTACATTCTTCTTGTATATCATTCTCATATTCTCTGAGGATGTATTGCCAGTAAATTTTAGGTTTAAAACAATCACTTGACATAATCCTTTCACGCATTTATAAATGGGTTTGCATTTAAATTCTCTTTTCATATCTCTCAAAACATGGGACAGAATTTCAAATGCATGGGTTCTTACTATGTGGGAATGTTTAGTATGTGGGAAACTTTGTAATTAAATGAAAACCAATGAAGTAACTTGTTGCAAGAATAAAGGATGCTCCCTGGAATCGATAAATTGTGGACTGCATATAGCACATCATTTATGGACTTTTTAATGCTCTTAAGGTAGCAAGGGGAATTGTACGATGATAGGATATGGAAATGTAGGATCTGAAGGGTGGGAGAGGTTTAGAAATTTGGATTTCTTTCCTTCCTACCTGGACAGAATGGTGGATAAACTTGATTGCTGTTTTCAAGCACACTGGTAGCTGTGGAACTGATATGACAGCCAGCTGCAAATGTTCTGACTCTGCTGATGATAGAAGCAAGAAAGGCAGTTGAATCATCACATGGGAGGATTTAATTTACCTAAAGTGAGCAGAAATCATAGGTGCTCTGTGACGGTTTTAAAACTTTACATTTTATCGCTAAACATTTTAAAAAATGGAATGTAATCTTTTCAAATTGTCCCTTGAGAAATTCATGTTTATCTACATCTTTATTTTATGGGTCAAAATGCAAGAAACTTGTTTTGTTGTTTTGCCCCCCCCCAAAAAAAATCAAAACACAAAAACAAAATGATACACTTCAACTTCAGTGTATTGTTTAATTGTCCATTCTGAAATAAATTATTTTTCATGTTCATTATGAAGTATTTAAATGACAACTAGAATAGTAGGAAAACTGCTAAACATTCTGTTTTGCTTCTTGATATTTTTCGTGGTACTGGGAGTTGAACCCAGTGCCACAGTTCTGAGCTGCATCTCCACCCACTCCCTTGTTGTTCTGAGACATAATCTCCCTAAGTTGCTAAGTTAATTGTCCAAAGTTGCGAAGCCTCCCAAGGGCAAGGATTACAGATGTGCACCTCTGAGCCCATCCCTAGATTCTTTTTTTTTGGTACCGGGGATCGAACTCGGGTCCTTGCACTTGCGCAGCAGGCGGCGACATTCAAGCATTCTTAACTCAGCTTTATTAATGACTGAGTGGGCAATTCTGCTTTTGCCTCTATAGCCCTCTTTTCTGTACAGTTATTTAGGGCCAAGTAGTCATCACCCCATTATTTTACCTGGTGTTAATGACACTGTCTTTTGCCATTTATTCCTTATAAATTGGTGGTGGAAGGTGGGTGAAACCCACTGTAAGTTGGTGGCCTTAGTGGGTCACAGATAGTGCTGAGTGTCTTTGTTTGGAGACCACAGTAGGCTCGGTAGCCTCTCCTCTGAGTTGTGATGTGACTAGCCCTTTATGTTGATGCTTGACTCATTAATGCAGTAGGTGTCACAGAATGGTAATAAATCTAAGTTATCCTTGCTCATCAACTATTGGCTGGTATTTCTATAAAGAACAACCTTTAATTCATTGTTATCCAGGGTATAGTTCATATAGGAAGGCAAGAAGGTGCATGTTTTCCTTCCTTAGTTTTCAGAATAATTAATTGGTTCCAGTCCATTGGAGACAAGCACATATTTTTTAACAAATATATTTTCACCATTACTTTTAATTATGACTTCATAGATTTAAAGTATCTTGTGTCTTTTAGTCTTTGTCACTTATTCTACTTAATATCCCAATGATCCTATCTTTCTTTATTTAAAGAGAACCTCTTCAAATTGGCCCCTTGGTCTTTTGACATAAGCTCTAGGAGGACATCCTGGTTTCCTGGCATCATGAGATGTTCTAGACTCATCATATAAACTCTTTGGCTAATATTGAATCCATAATAATTTTAGTATTTTTTTTCTAAATTGAAGTAGTGTTTGGCAAAATTTATAATTAATACATTTCTTGTCGTGGTAAAAAGTTTTAAATAAAATGTTATTAAGTTATAGAAGATGTGATCAGATTAGGTGAATCATACATTTTAGCAGTAAAGAAGGATCTTTTGATAAATAGGGGGGCTTTTCTGGAAACAGGAGGGTGATATTTGTATTCAGAATTCCTTCTGTAACCTGGACTTCCTGTTTCTCACGTGAACAAAGAACTTGACTTGATTGTAAATAGCCAAAGTGGTGAGGGAGATGAGATTATGTACTAGTCATTGCACTACTAAACTGCAAATCAAACTCTTCAGGAAACAAATCCCCTAGTTGTTAAGCTTCTCAGTCCCAAATATGGAGAAATATTTGGAGAATTTAAAAAGATAATAATTTTCTAAGTCGTGTCTGCTATAAGCAGAATTACTAATGAGTGATGAAATAATCTCCTACTGAGGAGTTGAGACATCTGTGTAGAGAACTGCCATCATTTTTCGTTGGCAGACATCTTAACTGCTATGGGATCAGTCCTGATAACAAAAAATAATAAAACAGGAGGTTGCAGAGGGAAAAAAAAGCGATAAAACTGCAGACCCAAATCAATAGGAGGAAATATTACAGCGTCCTTGAGGTTATCACCTGAGGCCCCACAGCTACCTTTCATTGAAATGTACTCAACTCTTCGAAGATATCGATGTCAAGTGATAGACTGGCATATAAGACTCCACAACTTTACCAGTCTATGGGGAGAAGGAACGTTTGTGATATCTTACATGACACTTCAGTCATACCCAAAAAAGGCAGCTGGCAAGGTGAAAGAAAGGGACATTGTCTTCCTCTCTTTTTGGTTAGAACAACAGTATTTAAGTCATGAGTTGTGATGGGAAGTAGACATAAGCAGATATTGATAGATCATAGCTATATTTTTGAAGAGTCAACATTGCCTCAGTTGTGCAAATATCTCAGCGTTGACTGTGTGCACTGGTGATTTTGCAGCCCAGATCGGAGTCGAGCATCCTTCGGAGTCATCACTTTCCTTTGCCTTCCTAGGGTTATCCACACTGCAAGCTGTGCTGGATTCCGCTGCTGAAAAGAAGTGGCAGGTGACGGCTATTAATGTGGGCAACATCAACAATGACAAGAAAGATGAGACCTACCGCTCGCTCTTCCAAGATCTGGAGTTAAAAAAAGAACGGCGTGTGATCCTGGACTGTGAACGGGACAAAGTAAACGACATTGTAGACCAGGTTTGCTCCTCTCTGTTCCTCTGCTTTCAACAAATTTAGCGTTTAAGCGTGCAATATCGGAGTTTGCATGGAGCATTTGGTAAGAGCTTGGACAGTGGTTTTCACTTCGTGAGCAAAGCTCATCAATTACATGATGTCTAGCTTCAGTTAGCCCTGAAGAGTGGCTGTCAATAACACCAACAATTGCATTAGTTATCAAATAAACTCAATGTATAATTCCTTACTTTCATGCTTTACATACATCTTGCACTAGCTGTGATATTTGAGTTGAAAATTTTAAATTAAATTCTGCGAAATTTAATTCTTTACTAGCTAAAAAAATAGACATGTATTGAGTCAAAATCTGAGTTCTAAAATTGAAAGGATTTGTTTGAGGAACATGAATTATCTCAATTATTAGAGTACAGTATGGTGGATTCTAATGTGAAAAGCTGATCTTATTATTTAACTAGGTCCATGTCTCTAGGAAGAGTAGGTACATATTTTTGTAAGAAGTAGTTTTTATCCCTACATTAAGAAATTTGTGTCATTATGCAAAAAACAAACTCTGTGAAATTAAAATATGAAAGAAAGACATTCAGACCACATTCACTATTTGAAAAGTTAACTGGAAGTATCCATTTGGACTCTTTGAAAGAATAGCATGATGCAAGAGACAGGAGTTATTTTTATCTGTCCTTATTGTACTACCTTGTTCAGTTTAAGAGCTTTTTAGGATAGAGCAGCTATGCAGTGATATCACAGTGATAAAAAGTAAAGCCCACCATGTTTTAAAAACAAGGTAAGTGATCCGGGATGCATAATAATTGACTGAGCAAAGAGATCATAAAAAATGAGTTCAATGGTGTCTATGACTTATTGTGTGTGTGTGTGTGTGTGTGTGTGTGTGTATGTGTGTGTAGAGAGATGGTGGCTACTAGGTCCTTGGAAATACATATGACTGAAAAGAAAATCCACAGTTACATATGCCTTTCTTGGCTTGTCTAGGCTTAGAGTCAAAAATTATATTTATTATTTTTTTCCAACACAAAACATTTTACACATATAAATGTTAATGAAACCCTAATTGATATATACTATACGCCTTAAGATACAGGAAGCGAATCTCCTGGAATATATTGAACAACCGAATCAACTTAACTTGTTATAAGAAAGAACCACATATTGTATGACAGGTGAATAATTTCAGTGAAAAACATCTTGTCTCAGGAGATGAATTTAGGATTGTTTTTAATCTGAAGGCCTTTTGTTCAGATGTAAATCTCAAAATCTCATTTGAATTTCATAGGAGATTCTCATTAAACCTCCATTTTCATAATATTCATTAGTCTGATTTTAAAAATTTACGTATGCCCGGCCCATCACCATAAATGTTGGTGAAAGCCTTTGTAAAAATAACTGTTCAAAACTAGAAGGGAGAAAGTGCAAAGGAAATTAGGGCCATATGAAAAGCATTGTTTAGAAGTAAATCTATTATAATGATTACATAAATGTTCTTATGGGCAGCTATTCAAAATGTAGAGTGTTTCACACATGTGTAAGATATCCTCAAATATACTGAGCACATACAGTGGGTGGTGTGTGACTCCGCACACATTTACTGAGGACATCCTCTGTTCTAGAATGAAGGGTGCAAAGAAAGACAAGGACGAGTGGTGTTTGTATCCCATGAACTTGTTGTTTAGAGGGGAAGAAAAAATGTACATTTATAATAACATAATATTACAAGTCTTAATGCAGTGTGGTATGTCAGCCAGCTTTCCCTTGCTATAACAAATACCTGAGATGAGAAAACTAACAAAGTTTTAGTTTGGCTTATAGTTTTAGAGGTTCAGCCCATTGCTTTTGGGTGTGTGGTGAAGGAAGCACCTCACTTCCTGGCAGCTGGGAAGTAATAAGAACCATAGGAAGAGACCAGGGCCACAGTGCCCACGAGGAAGTGCCCCCAGTAACTTAAAATCTCTGATGGGGCCCTACTTCTTAAAGGTTTCTGAAACCTTTCTTGTCACCTCATTGAGACCACACCCTTTGTGCATGGGCCTTTGGGGACATTCACAATCCAAACTGTAGTAGCGGCCTAGAAATGAGGAGGACACGCCTTTCTTTCCAGAGAAAGGGGGGGTCTGTCAAGGGCTCACAGAGAAGTGGCATTCAGCTGCTTGAGTTCATTTACTTCTTTGTTAAATAAATATTCCCTAAGTGTGCAGTGCTTGCTGGAAGCCACAGCATTCAATCCACAAAAGTTGTGTTAAGCAAAATAGGCCAGGCCCCATGGAGGTGTATGCATGTGAACTTGGAATGAATGTATGATTACATCAATGGAGCATAGGATGAATGCAAGGAACGGAGTGTTCTGAAAGAGAATTTCAGGAAGAAGCAGTTTAGATTTGGAATTTCTTCAAGGAATAGTGTTTAGCAGACAAAGTGGAAATAAAGTGTTTTCTAAGAAATGGAAATACTATTTATTTATTTATTTACCCAAACAGTATTTCAGGGGAAGAGATGAAACTCTTTATCTTCCCAATAGCCTGAAGTTAGCAGTAGAATTGAACTGCATTTCATCGTAGGTATTTTATTATCATTTCTTAAAACCTTAGAGGTACTTACTTCTAGCTGTGTGTAGGTAGGAAAAGTATTCAGCAAAAAACATAACTTAGCATAAATTTTCTATTGTTAGTATAATATTGTTTTACAAAGCAAAGTTATAATAGTTAATTTGGCCAACACTAATTTTTATATAGATTTTAGTGAATTTTCACCTCTTTCTCTCGGTGAACACTTAGAGTCTACTGGTATCACCATTTCTACTGTGTTTATCCTAATTCTCAGAAGGAAGACCTGGATGCTTCAGAAATTAGAATTTACAATAAGCAGAGCCAGTAGATGTCCTTAGGATATGTGGCAGACACCAGTGTCTTGATAAAATTGATATTAATTCAGAAGGATACACAGTGTTTAAAATCCTTCAACATAGAGGGTACAGTTTTCTTGGAAACTTTCTAGCTACATTGTGCACAAATAGCTTAGAAAAGAATATACACCCCCAACTTCTTCCAAATAGCTGCCATGTATTATCAAAGTGGCATATGGTAGAATTCCTCCCAGGATCTTGGTCCTTGCTCTTCAGCTAAGTAGGCTGCTTGTGCACATCTGTCTGTGTCGGTGATGATGAAAAATCAGGGAATTCTACTCCCAGGGGCTCACAATTTGGCTGAGAGTCATCGTGCTGCAAAAGTTAATAAGATAACAGATACGGTGATGAGAGAGATTGAGGGATGGGCAGTAGCATTGCAGTGCTCCATGATCTAAGAAGGAATCCCTGTGCCTTGAGCATAGACAGTGGAAGATGTGAGCTGGGAGAAGCTCACAGAATCATTTAAATTTGCACCCTGTTAAGAATTTGGTTTATTTTGCTAAAACACACAGAGATTACCAAAGCAGGCTAGTCAGGAGATGAAGCCAATGGCTGCAATTTTTATCTATAGCCTTGGCATTTCTTACTTTCTTTACACTGTGATTATTATTTTTTTAAAAGAAAGGAGATAGATGTTCTTGGATTTATGATGGCTTGATTTATGACTTTTCTACTTGACAATAGTATGCAAGCCAAATACACTCAGAAGAAAGTGTACTAGGATTTTTGAAGTTTGATCTCTTCCGGGGCAAGGACATGCTGTTGGCAGTGTCAGGCACTGGGATGCTGGGGAGAGGTGGTACACCTCAACTTCCAGCCCCAAGGTCAGTGATCAAGAGGGGAAAGAATGTATATTCTCCTCCCACACTCTCCTGCGTCCTTTGTGGTCAAAGAGATTTGGTAGGTTAGCTACATTAGATGCTGGTGTTTGCGTGGGGGCGTACTGGGAAATGGAACTCAAGTAGCTCAAGATCAGCTACATTTTCTCTCTCTCTCTGTCTCTCTCTCTCTCTCTCTCTCTCTCTCTCTCTCTCTCTTTCAATGGGATCTCACTGAGTCACCCAGGCTTTGTGATCCTTCTGCCCCAGCCCCCCAGAGTGCTGGGATTCTAGGTGTACTGGACCACACATGGCATAACCTCATCATAAGCTGAAAAGTTATCTCTCTTTTCCAGAAATACAGCATGATCATGTTCATTGCACCTTTACCTACTCTTTTCATGTTGTTGTTGGTCAGTGCAAAGTCAGATTGGTTCAGTAATATCCAAAACTGTTGTGAGCATTACCAGTATGACCTCTTGTTCCACGAGGTGCTTTTCATGGTATTGATCTTTTACTTAAATTTGTGGGAAAAAAAATTAGCCTCTCGGATACTTTGCTTTGTAAGCTAGAAATAATGTCCGTTTGAACTAAGCTGTAAGCCTTTAAACGTTCTGAGGGTAGAAATATCATTTTATATATCAATTTAAAAATCTTGTATTTACTCTGTTTTCAAATTTTAGTAGTTTTATAACTCTGTGCTTATCTTTGACTATATAATGTGAGTATAAAACCTCAGATGTTGATTTTAGCTGTTTAATATTTCACTAGCTTTTGTAGGAATAATATTATGAATGGATTTTATGCTTCTTAATATTTTATAGTATTATTCTCACTATTAATAAAAATTAATAAAAATTGGGTAATTATTTGGTAATTATTGGGGGTTAGTGATTAACTTCTTGAAAGATAACTGTTATTTAGGACTAAAATGCAGTATTATTTTTCCCTGAGAGAAATATTTTCTTGATTGCATAAAAGCATAGTAGGTATGATTTCTGTTATTTCTGAAACAGATTGCAATACTAGTATTTATATTGACATTACTTATACTTATTAAATGATTGTTTATCTTTGGTAGGTTATTACCATTGGAAAACATGTTAAAGGGTATCACTACATCATTGCAAACCTGGTAAGTAAACTGATTACTATTTATTATTTCAATACTCTTTCTAAAATTAACTGAATGATGATGATTTATTAGTGGTGTTTTACAAGTATAATTTTGTTATATCTGTTAGGTTTATAGTGGCAAGTATTTCAACTTGCTGTTTTAGATTTACGTCCCACTTTATATTTCCAATTAATTTCTTATTATAAACATTGATGTAGGAGGTTCTCAGGGACAATCTGGCCGGGAGGAGGAGCGCAGGGAGGAGAGGCGCAGGGGCCGCCTGACCGTGCTGGAGAGCAGATTCGGGCGCAGTGGACCCCGGGCCTCTCTGGGCGCACCTGCTTCCTCTGCAGGGGGCTTAGGAAATGGCCGGCACCCAGGACACTGGCTTAGGTCAAAGCCCACCACCGGCGTAGGAGGTGACCCGACACTCCAAACAGCCAGGTAGCTCCAAACCTCGTCTCGAAGTACCCACTTCCTCTCCTCGCAGTGCTACTTTCTAGAGAATAGGAATTGCAGAAGTTCTTGAAACTCCAGAGACATGCGCAGAAAACAAGGCGATTAAATGGAAGTCTCCATGTGGGATTCCGAGCCTCGCTGTACCTCGTCCACCATTCTATCCCTAGGCTTTAACCAGAACCACGCACTATATGGGAGATGAGGGGATTCTGACCGAACGGAATGGCCAGAGAAAAGGAAAACAGATATGGCCCAAAACCACTCTGTCCACGCTGCCTGACCATCTGTCTGCGGTGCAGCATGCTGGGTAATGAGCCTCGCTGATGCGCGGAGGAAGTACCAGAGATATGTTCAGCCTCGCTCTGCAGTAACTTAGCAAGCATTCAAAGGAAAAGTTTGGCCATGAACATGAATACCAAAAACAGAAACAGGGCTGGAGACATGAGAAAAATGTTTAAGCATATAATTAACATCTACGGGAAACCAGAGGCAAACATTTTACCTGTAAAAAAGAAGGGAGAATAAGAGCTGTGGAAAGCTAACTTCTTTTATTTCTTAAAACAGCAAGGTAAATTTATATGAGCTTGGGAATAAAGTTGAATCACATCCCAGAGTACATAACAAATGACGACATGGTATAGGAAAACATAAAACCCATAAGCGATTTAGACATTTGATTTAAGGGTAGCAATATCTCAATAATAGACATTCTAGAAAGAGAGATGAATGAAGATAAGAGAGGAAAGATCTTAAAGTACCATTTTGGAAAGTATCCAGTATTGATTGACTCAATTCTTCCCATTGGGTACACACAATAATGAAAGAAGAAAGGCAGTGAAAATTCATTGTGGAATTTTGGAGATAAGAAAAGCTTTTTAAAGTTTTTGGAATTAGTAAGGAAGTTGTAGGAATGAGAAGCAGATCGTATACAAAGAAGAGTTAGAAATGATGTTTTTCCCATAGCAACAATGGAAAATGAAAGTCAATGAGACAGTGCCTTCCAATTATAAAGTTGTCACTTTACCATTCTGTATTGCGATAAAATACTGATGGAATGTCAGGATAAAATGAAATCCTTTCAAGCATGCATTGTCTCCAAAAATTTACCTCCAGTGTGTCTCAGGAAACTCCAGGGGAAATCTAGCAGAAGAAAGAGTGCAAAGAGAGAAATGTGACCGAGAGGATAGGATGTCCTCAGAAAAGGAACTAAGAAACTGAAGGACACACCAGGATAACAGCTGCAGAGTAGACGGAAAGAGGAATCCATTCAGACTGCTGCTAAGGAGGAGGACTCTGGAAATTGAATGTTCAGGAAAAATTTGAAATACATTTCCAGATATGTTTGAATATTTTATTTTTAAGGAATCTTTACTCTTCTTAGGTGAAATATTTTCATGAAGCAACTGGAAAAAAATTAAGGTTAGACATAAAATTTTAGGGAAGAAAGGAGACAATTACTAACATTGGAAAAATGTTCAAGGAAGAAAATGAGACACTAGTATTGTTTGGCTTTGCTTATGAATAACACATCCAAGTAAAAATGTGTAAATAGCAAATGTTGGGTAAAATGGGTGAGGAGATGAATGTTTTGGTTATATATTTGAGTTACATGCTCATCTGCCATAAACAAAAATTCAGCAAAATATCTAAAATTGACAAGTTAAGAAAGAGTAACGTGTCATGGAGAAATACAGAGGTAAATACATGAAAAATGAGGATATGGAAAGTTCAAGTATTGAAGCAGCTTAACTAGACCATGGATGCGATAGAGCAGAGAATCTATGATTTTTGCTATGTAGTTTTTTTGCAATATACTATTTGTATTATTATAAAAATGAAAACAAAATTGTGAACCAACAAAAGGCAATTACTCTTTTCTCAGATAAATAACAATATATTTTAATATCAACAAGAAAGAAAAAACATTATGCAAAATAATAATGAAGTACAAAATGTAAAAATACACATAATTGAGATAATTTGAAATAGTGACATACTGAAACAAAATTCCTTTCAACAATATTTGAAATCAGTGGAAAGACCACATGATAGTTTTAGTAGTGAATGAATTCATTCTAATAATGTAAGATAACTTGTTTTTTAATATATTCTATAAAACTTGTTTTAGGAATGACTAGGCATTTAGGACCTTCTGTTCTTGTTTTAAAGATATTTGTATTATGTGAGTGAGCCATCAACTTAGTAAGAAATAACTTACAATGTGGTAATCTTGACTTGTGTATTTCATGGCCTTACGCATCTGTAGCCATAGGCTGTGGCTGCATTGCACAGTCTATAAATAACACCCAGCTCTCACCCATGGAAGACTTCTCAGTAAAATGGAGAACTTTTGTGTGAGTGCTACTGTGAGAGTTACATGAGCCAAGGTTGGCTGCAGCCCTTTCTGAAGGTTTCTTATCTCTCAGGTGCTCTTTGAAATATGTGAAAGCCCATTGTATAGAATTGTGTGTTAAATGCTAGGTTCCACTGGGATGACATGAATGTGTTCTGCGTCTAGGGATTTACTGATGGAGACCTATTAAAAATTCAATTTGGCGGAGCTAACGTGTCTGGATTCCAGATAGTGGACTATGATGATTCCCTGGTGTCTAAGTTCATAGAAAGATGGTCGACTCTGGAAGAAAAGGAATATCCTGGAGCACACACAACTACAATCAAGGTTTGCTTTGGTTTCTAATTTCTTTCTTGTCTTTGGGGGAGATGAAGGAAGGAGTAAAGAGTGCAGTTCAGAACATGACAAACGTATAGACTGCTGAATATGTTTTTCATGATTTACTTAAGTTAGAAACCAGGGCAGCTGTATTGTGTTACTCTTCAGTTTTTAATTTCTTAGATACTTTCATTCATTCATTTATCTATTGGGGGCTTTTTATGTTGCGTGGACTCTGAACCGGGTATTTTGGTGGTAAACAAAAAGGAAGTGTCCTGTCTGCTCTCAAGTTAGTGAGTGGAAGACAGTAAGCATAAAGGAAGAATCCCTTGAAGAAAGGGGATGGAGAATGCGGAAAGATACCACAGGAGCCTACCTTAGAATGCATGGCTAGAAAGACCGCCTTGGGGAAGAAATTTCCAAAATAAAACTTGAGGACTAAAAGGCAGTCTGGATGCTGCTGAGAAAATACCATTTACAAATAAATTAAAGAACAATAGATGTCAGTTTGTCCTAATCTTCAAAAAACTTACTTGTAGTCAGTCAGTTCAGTCAATAAATATACAGTCATATCCACAAAATGTGTTCATGTGAGTGTGCAAGTGAGCAAAGTAACTGATGATAAATACCCTGGCCTCTGAGATACTCAGAATATAGAAAATAATCTCAATTTACTTTAATAATTAAAAAATATGTATAATGCTTATACACTGAAAAGAGTTTTGAATGCCAAGCTAAATAAAGCCAATTAATATACACTGAAGGATATAAAAGCTGCATGAGTTTGTGTTCTTTCCTATGGGTTTGAACACACTGAGATCGTTTGTTTGTTTAATGTATTTTTATGTCTTCCTTCAAATTTAAACATTTCTGCTGTTGGCAGATGGACTTTTGTCTTCCATTGTGCTATCCTCATTGGGAGCAGAATTAAAATTAAGACTCAGCTAAGCGTGGATAGATAAGCAACTGATGAAGGGAAGGTGATGTTCACCTTCTTTATGAAAATAGAGACTTGTGACAATGAAAACAAAAGGTGCAGAACACTGGCAAATGTAAAGTGATTTTGTTTGTTTACTTGTGCATTAGAAAGCAAATGGTATGTGAACTCTTCAGAGAAGCGCGATAGTTCAGTTACTGTCCCCATAGAGCTGATTATACATTAGAGATAAGGTATTTGGTCCTAAATTAATGTCGGGCTGTGCAGCTAATCTTAGATAGCAATTAGAAGCTCTGAGGTCCTCTACTTTGGGGTGTATAAATGGATCCTTGTGATTTTCAGTCAATCCCGTAGGATGTTAAAAAGTAATGGTGAGCTAATGTTCATCTAAGAAGTAGATGACTTCCTCTCTGGTGACCTCAACTGAGGACCAGCCTGCATGCTGTTTACAGCATGGTCTGGGGTTAGGGTTCAGGAATGGGGCATCCGTGACCTCAGTCAGTGCCAGGGTGTCTGCATCTGTGTTTCCTGAAGGCTCACTGCTGGTCCCCCTCTGTGAGATTTAGGGTTCACTTTGCGGGGAGATGATTTTGTTCAAACTCTCTGGGGAGGGGGGTGTCATTCTCCCTCAGATGGAGCCAGCAGGCTCCCTTTGAACATTGTCCCTCATCTCGTGCCCCCCATCGCTGCCTGATGTGGGAGGTAGGGAAGTAAAGTGGAATTTTTATTTTTCTCCTAGAAATCTTATCATCATCCAGGTTCCTGTGTCTTGCACCAAAATGCGCGGCATATGTGGGGTACGAGAGATGTCTTGGGTGTGCATTTTGTTAATATTTTCCCCAAACTTTCTGCTGGATATCACTCCGCTGAGAGGTGACATGGTGACATTTCTTCACTCCCTCTCACAGTGGCATTTCTGGTCCATGAAGCCTCTATTTTGGTGGCTTCTGCTAATTTCCAGAGAGGGCATCATGGCCTTTCATTGTGTGATGTTGCAAACAGCACTGGTTTGCTAGTTTCAGTACAGGCACCAAAGCACTCTTTTCCCAGGGGTCCAGTGTTCTCATCCGCACAGTGAGTCATGGCTGGTGATTCCCAAGTTGAGGTGAAGACTGAGTAACATTGAAAAATGTTTTCATAGTGTTCAAAGCCTTCATGCCCATAAAGGTTAATACCTTTCCCTACTCACATCCTAGGTGAGCTGACTGTAAAGGTCTTTTCAACTCTAACATTTTGTGATCCTTTTATTTCCATCCCAGAGGCATCTTTTATGAAGCCATCCAAACTTTATAAAAATTACGGAAAAGCCCCAGGAAAAAATCATCTTTAGGGGTGGGGACTTCATCCTAAAACACACACACACGCTGCTCATGTACTGGAGAGCCAGGAATTGAACAGAAACAAGAAAGGAAATGAAAATGTATGAGCCTGCCCTAGAGAATCCACAGTCCAAAAAAGAGACAAACACGTCAGTAACTCTGCACGAATGAGCAGTACAGAATGGTGCAGGCCGCGATGCAGCTCAAAGGCAGAGCACGGGGCCAGCGTGGATGATGCCCCGGACCCAGCTTGATTCCCGGGACCCACAGATGATCCGTGTACATTTTGCAGTATCCAAAGATGGGTAGCACAGTGTACGGATGAGGGTGGGGCCAGAAGGTTGTCTGCGGGGGATCCCTGAGTAGGTTTTGAAAAAGGAAGGGGGAGCGTCCTTGGGAAAGAGCAAGAGGAGATGGGCAGAGGCGGATGTGAAACAACAGCACACCAGATGCGAGGAACCATACATTTTTGGCAGTAGCATGTGATGGGAGCTGTAAGAGGTAAGGGTGTTCAGTTGCCAGCAGATGGAACAGGCAGGCATTCTAGCACAAAGGGTCCTTGTCCCTGTCCACAGGGAACACACCCTAAGATTCCGGGGATGTTTGCAACTGAATAGAATCCATCCCATAAGTATGTTGTTTTTCCTATACTATATATCTATGATAAAGTTTGACTCATCAACTAAGCATAAGCAGAGATTAATAACTAATAATACAGTAGGACAATTATCACAGTGTGATTTTGCAGAGTATCTTATTACACTAGATTCACTGTTTTTCTGCTTCTCATAATTTGAGATGTACAGTGCCACGGTACGAGGGGAAGAAAGCTGAAGGACATCGTTGCTGTGACTTCAGCAGACAGTGGTTTTCTTTCCTAATTCCGTGAAAAGCTTCGAACTTTTCACTTAAACAATGTGCTCTCTGGCTCCTCTGGGATATATCCAAGTCGCCAGCAGCACCACCCTGGCATTCGGGGTGCTTGTGAAGCCAAGTGAGAGCTCCTGGCACACACGCTGCCGCCCACGGTGGCCCATCTGGCAGAGCTGCGGAGGAGCAGACAGCAGGCTGGCGTGAGTGGGGCGGGGCCTGCACATCAGGGCGGGGCCTGCACTTCGGGGCGGGGCACGCAGCGGGCAGGAGATTGCATCACGCTCTTCACCACGAGATGCAATTTAAAGCTGCTGAGTTATTTATTTCCAGAATTTCTCATTTCATATTTTGAGTCCATGGAAATAAAAAGCACAGATGTGGGAAAACTGCTGTGATGCTCTCATGTGTTTTTCTGCTTCCATCGGCAGAAGACAGGAGGAAAAACTATACAGAGGACTATGTAGCAGTCTCTAAATAAAACGAATGTATTCAGTATATGATTTACTTAGAGAAAGCTAGCAAAATATCTAATGAGATTGTTTCTAATGAGGTTAGTTCCTTTGAAATGTTGCTTTTTGGGTCATTAACTGTGTAGGTACATTGTCAGGTGTTTAAATCACATTTTACTATTTTACAATAAAAACTAGTGCTATAGGCATGAAAAACCATAAAAATACATTTTATTACATCAAATCCTTTCCATGACTAGGCTTTGAGAATTATATTAAGATATGGGAATAATAATTACATGAGTCTTTCAGAGTTTTTTACTCTATCCCAAAAGTTAATTCAGCTTCCATAGTTTGCTAATTAAAATAAAATTTATTCAATACATACAAGCAGAATAGTCAATCACTTTTAATATTTAACAAGATTTAATAACTAGCAAACACAATTACAATGTTTAAAGTTTTTCATCCTTATTTAAATAAATTGCTTTAGAATCATAGTACTAGTACTGAGATTTAAAATCTGACTCTCACTAATATGCTAATAATTTGGCAAAATATTCAGTTATCCACTGAACACATACTTATTGACTTTGTAACCTTTAATTTATTGTAGGTGTCCTAGGAAAAACAGAGTTCTATTCTTCGAGGAATTAAGTCTTCAGGGTAGAAGCCAGCAATTACTTTGTACCAGTGACAGAATGATCTTACATCTTACACACTCAAAACTGAACTTCTCATTTTCTGCTACTAATTACTTGTTCTTTCTAGTCTTTCCTCTCCCAGGGATGGCACCTCCAGCTTTCAGTTGTTACTTAGACTCAAAACTTGAGCATGTCCTTGACTACTCCCTTCCCTTGTAGCCCACGTCCAATCTGTCATGAAATCCTGTCAGCTCTGCTCACTTCCCATCACCTCCAAGCACCCACTCTAAATCCAGCCACCACCCCCGCTGCCAGGTGATTGACTTGTCTCCTGATTTCCCCTCTCCCACATTTGTCTCCCTCCCCTTCCATCTTTGTGGTCCTTTGAAAATGTAAATGAGATTGTGCAGCGATTCTGCTCCACAAGTTCTAGTGCATTTCCGTGAAAGTCAGTCATCCTGCTGCCTTGCAGAGTCCCTCCACGCTTTTCTACCAGTCACATGTAACATAATTTCTCAGCTCCAATCCCTCACTTGCTCTCTGCTTCTGCTAGGTTGGCTTCTTGATGTTCTTCATGCACCTCAGGGATCTTGCTACCCCAGGGCCTCTGTGCAGGCTCCTGGAAAGGACCGTGTCTTCCTTACATCTCTGCATTGCTGAATGCCCAAGAAGCCAGTGGTTGGCTCTGTACTGAAAACTGCAGTCTGAACCATCATGGGATAGACCATTGCTCTTTCTTGGCTCCATTTTCCTGCTTCCATTTTTCCAGCCTAGCGCACTATAATTG